TTCAGGTGTGGTGGCACACGCCTATAGTCCTGCTATTCGGATGTTTGAGGCACAAATCCAGAAGGTAGAGGTTGCAGTGAGCCAAGATCTTGCCACTGCACCCCAGCCTAGACTGCAGAATGAAACCCTGTCTCAAAAAAAAAAAAAAAATACCTATATATATCTCTCCAGTGAGCATGGCAGAGCATTTTTAGTGGCTGAGGCAGGAGGATTGCTTGAGAGAAGGATTGCTTGAGGCCAGGAGTTGGAGACTAGCCTAGGTAACATAGCAAGACCCCATTTCTAAATAAATAGTTAAATAAGTAAATAAAGAGATATCAAATGAATGGAGACTTGAACAAAGTGAGTAATCTAAAATGACAACTTTGAAAGTAAACATTCATTTGACTGAGTCCTAGTTGAGTCCAAGAATTACTGAGTTATTCAATAAATGCTTTTAGGCAAACTAGCCTGTTTAGTAAAGTTAGATTCCCTATTCATATCATTAGATTCCCTATTCATATCATATACAAAATTCCAATTGGATTTAATATTCATATGTTTAAAAAAAAAAAAAACTATAAAACCACCAGAAGAAAACAGCAGTGACTGTATAATTTTAGTGTGAGGAATGCTTATTTAAACTGAAGCCAGAAACTACACAGGAACGGGTTGATCATGGCTCTGAGCTAATGTATCACTTTCCAAGTGGTACCTTCTATATAAGGGGTAAAGCTGGAAGCCACACTCCCCCTCCCCCGCCAAGTGAATTTTTCCCCAATTTTTAAGAGCTTAAATGTCTGCCTATTCAAGGAAACAAGTAATTGTAAAACTACCCTAAGTCTTGTCCAAAAAGTCTGGTAACACAGGAAATACAGTGGTTTGTTTGTTTGCTAGTTTGTTTTTTGAGACAGAGTCTCGCTCTATCATCCAGGCTGGAGCGCCATGGTGTAATCTCGGCTCACTGAACCTCCATTTCCCAGGTTCAGGGGATTCTCCTGCCTCAGCCTCCTGAGTAGCTGGGATTACAGATGTGCACCATCACACCCAAGTAAATTGTTTATTTTTAGAAGTGGGGTTCCACCATGTTGACCAGGCTGGTCTGAACTCCTGACCAACCTCAAGGGATCCGCCCACCTTGGTCTCCCAAAGTGCTGGGAATACAGGCATGAGCCACCACATTCAGCCTACAGTGTATTTTTAATATCATATTTTGGATTAACGATTGGATATATTGCCTTAGAGACACCTGAGACAGTATGTGGAAGTCGAAAGAAAATATATTGAGCAATATTATCTCAAAATGTTACGAATGCATTGTTTGAAAATAAATTAGTTCTATGTTTCTGACTTTTTGAACACTCTATGAAGTGTTGCCCAGCACTTTGGGAGGACAAGGCAGGCAGATCGCCTGAGGTCAGGAGTTTAGGACCAGTCTGACCAACATGGTGAAGCCCCATTTCTTCTAAAAACACAAAAATTAGCCAGACATGGTGATGCACGCCTGTAATCTCAGCTACTTGGAAGACTGAGGCAGGAGAATTGCTTCAACCCAAGAGGCAGAGATTGCAGTGAGCCAAGATCATACCACTGCGCTCCACTGCACCTCTCTTCCTGACCCCAAGATCTTACAGGGGTCGGGGAAGGGGCAACAAAACGAGACACAAAAAAAAAAAAAAAAAAAAAAATGGAACAAGATCAGGTGTGGTGGCTCAAACCTGTAATACCAGCGCTTTGGGAGGCCCAGATGGGCAGATCACTTGAGCCCAGGAGTTCAAGAGAAGCCTGGGCAACATGGCAAAAACCTGCCTCTCCAAAAATACGAAACTTAGCAGACATGGTGCCACTGGCCTCTAATCCCAGGTACTCAGGAAGCTAAGGCACAAGAATTATTTTAACCAAAAAGTCGAGGCTGCTGAGACTATGCCAGTGCACTGCAGCCTGGGCCACAGAGTGAGACCCTGTCTCAAAAAAAAAAAAGCCACATTGGAATATATTTATTGACTTGAAAAATAGTTCATAACATATTTTTTTTTTTAATAAATAGATTCCCATGTCTTTCCATAGACTGTAGAAGGTGAAGCCTGGGAATCTGTATTTTTAAATTTTATTTCATTTTTTTTTTGAGACACAGTCTCACTCTGTCGCCCAGGCTGGAGTGCAGTAGTGCAATCTTGGCTCACTGCAACCTCCGCCTCTTGGGTTCAAGTGATTCTCCTGCCTCAGCCCCCTTCCCCACCAGCAGCTGGGATTACAGGCGCCCAACACACCCAGCTAATATTTGTATTTTTAGTAAAGAAGGGGTTTCTCCATGTTGACCAAACCGGCCTCACACTCCTGACATCAGGTGATCCACCTGCCTCAGCCTCCCAAAGTGCAGGGATTACAGGTGTGAGCCACTGCACCCAGCCCATAATATATTTTAAATGAAAAGAAAAAAATGGAGATTATAAACCATTAAGTATATTATCTGATTTTCATAAAGACTTATATGTGCAATTTATACATAAAATATGTGTGTCTATATATATAATCTGAAATGCTATACATAAATATGTTAATAATGATTATCTTTTTGGCTTACCTATAGTTTGTAATGTTTCAACAATAAGTATGCATAATTAATGAGATTGGGATAAAAAGACAAATAGTTGGATGGCTTACTCAAAACCAAAGCAAACACTGATCAAGCTTATTAAATGATAAAGTTACTCAAATGAAGAAGGAACTAAAGATCTAAAAAAAACCTCATAACTGTGTATGATTTCCAATGATTTTCTGCCACCCTGTGGGGAATTCTGCACATTGCAGAACTGAATAAGCGAAATCTAAAATTATAAAAAATTCTGTAACTCAAGATGAAATTTCTTGGCTCAAGAAGTTGTTTAGCTAAAACTCTGTTGACCAGTTTTATTTTCTATACCAGCTATTTAGTGAAATTGCTAGAATGGGATAAAAATAATACCCAATACTTCCAATACTTAAATGTGATTATGGCAAGCAAGGTCCTAATGAATATATATGACTTCATCTCAAAAAAAACCTTATGAGGTAGGTATTGTTTTCTTCCCATTTTGTCAAAGAGACAGAGTTTAATCTACCAATGGTGAGTAAATTTTGCCAAAGCAGTGTGAAATCCAGACAGAGTGCTGCATTTTAGGTCAATGATTTAAATTTTTGAGTTTCTCTGTTTCCCTCAGGCCTGATCGTTCTGTAATGGAATCACCCAAATACCTGACTGCTGAGTCTTTCTCTGGATTTATCAGATGAAACTTTGGAGAGGGATTTTTTTTTTTTTTTTTTTTTTTTTTTTTTTAGTGGTTTTTTTTTTTTTTTTTTTTTTTTTTTTTTTTTTTTGAGACAGAGTCTCACTCTGTTACCCAGCCCAGGCTGGAGTGCACTGGCAAGATCTCAGCTCACTACAACCGCTGCCTCCCTACGATCCCCACCTCAGCCTCCCAAGCAGCTGGAACAACAGATGCATGCCACCACATCCCCCTAAGTTTCTTTCTCCTCTCTCTCTCTCTCTCTCTCTCTCTCTTTTAAGACGGGGTTTTACCGTGTTGGTCAGGCTGGTCTTGAACTCCCGACCTCAGGTGATCCGCCCGCCTTGGCCTCCAAAGTGCTTGCCTGGATTACAGGCCTGAGCCACCATGCCCAGGCCCCCTCTCTTTTTTTGGTAGAAATGGCGTCTCACCATGCTGCCCTGGCTGGTCTGGAACTCCTGAGCTCAGCCTCTCAAAGTGCTGGGATTAGAGGCGTGAGCCAGTGTGGCCGGCAGAGTGAGATTATGATGTCCTCCAAACAAATCTCGTTCGGTTGAGGCTGAGTATGGTCTAATTTGAATAGTTTACCTTGAGTACTCTGACCATGGTCTGCAGACCTGGGCTTTTCTGAGAACTGTTTGTAAACAAGTCTACAGAGAGATAGTAGAAAACTCTACAGCAATTTTCCGGGTAATTTTATGGATGTTAACTCTAACGATAAAAAGTTTTCACTTGGACTTTGTGTGTCTTTTCATTTGTCTGTTTTATCAACTTGTGGTCCACAACTAATTAAAAAAATTTTAAAATTAACATATCATTCCCCACATTGAAGAGAAGCACTACTGTAAGCTGTTCACACTCGAAATTACCAAACTCCAAGGACGCTTCTGAGGCCTAGCTCCCCAAAATGAGGTCTCGGATATTTTTCCTCCCCTTTTTTCTTTTTTTTTTTTTTTTTTTGTGTGTGTTTGTTTTTTTGAGACGGTGTTTTTGGTCTGTTGTCTGAGCTGGAGTGCAATGGCATGATCTCCGCTCACTGCAAACCCTGCGTCCTGGGTTCAAGGATTCTCCTGCCTCAGCCTCCTGAGTAACTGGTATTACTGGTGTCCGCCAGCACGTCCCGACAATTTTTGTATATTTAATAGAGGTGAGGTTTCACTATATTGTCCAGAGTGGTCTTGAATTCTTTTTTTTTTTTTTAAAGACGGGGTTTCACCATGTTGGTCAGGCTGGTCATGAACTCCCGACCTCAGGTGATCCACCCGCCTTGACCTCCAAAGTGCTTGGATTACAGGTGTGAGCCACTACGCCCGGCCTGGTCTTGAACCCTTGACCTAGGGTGATCCACCCGCGTCAGCCTCCTAAAGTGCTGGGATTACAGGCGTGAGCCACCTCGCCTGGCCTCCTCCCCTTATTTCATCCATTTTATAATTCACATTACTCACATTATTATTGATCGTTGATAATTGCACCTATCGCAATGATACTGATAGTTGCACCTGTTGTCATAATATTGCTATTGGTAATTGCACCTATTGCATTATAATATTATTGATATTGATAATTTCACCTATTGCAATGTTCAATAAAAACAGGCAAAAAGAAAACAAAAATGACTGAGACTACAGGGCAGCGTCCCAGCGCACAACAATGAAGAAACGCCACCAATAAGGAGTCGAAGCGACGGGTCTGCCCAGAGACAGGGAAGGCTGACGCGAGCGATAGCCCGTGAGGCCTGAGTGGGCTGGGGGATGCTGCGTGGGCTTCAAGAGGACGGCACGCCCCCGCCACCGCCTCCTCCGCTGCCGCGCCCGGAGGTCGGAGTGTTGTCACTTCCGCCGGGATGTCTCACTGCGTCCGGGTCAGCTGCTGCCGCCGCCGCCGCGCCGCTGCGGCCGGGGAATTGGGCCGGGGTCTCCACCGCAGACCGAGGGGAGCGGGCTCCGCTCGGCACCGCTTTTTGCGACCTGGCCGTCAGCCCCACGTCGCCGGCCTGGAGGGGCGAGGAGGACGAGGGGGCCAAGGCTTCCTCCGGGGTGAGTGCGGCCTGGGAGGACTCGGCACGGCGGCTCCGGAGCCGGACTGGAACCGGCCTAGGGGCGCAGATTTGTCGGGCGCTTACCCAAGACGCCCGGGGAGAGGAAACGCAGGTTACCCGTGGTAGGGGGCGCCATAGAACCTGCTCGGGAGGTGCTTCCTGGATACCCGCCCAGCATAGGTCCCCGCCCTTGGCTCGGGTCCTGTTTGTATTTGGCAGTTTGGCCCCCACCCCACTCCTTTTCCGTTTCTGGTAGTTGTGCTCGGGATAGAACCTTGTCCCTCCTCCTCTCCCCCACCTTTACCCCGGTGCGGGTGAAGTGGCTGGGCCACGATGGTTCAGTATTTATGACCAGCCTCGGTCCTGGTGCAGAACAAAGAAACTTGGACTTCTGGAATGCCTTGTAACCTCAGGGAATAGACCCGGGAGCAGCATAAGTAATCAGGGCTTTAATAGATCTTCCCGAGCACGCTAAACCAAATCTGGAGTGTACGTCAAAAGCCGAGTCCCGGCTTGGATCCAGACACCACCTTTTCTGTTTAAATACCTGGCACAATGGTTTGTATTTCTAGATGCATCTCTTGCCGCTGGAGAGTTACTTGTCTATCCTGTGAGCTCTTTGAGGGCACAGCTTTTGCCGTGTTCATCAAGATAGGCACAGCCTCCTGTTTAATCGAATGAATTATGTGATTGCATTTTAGTGTTGCTTTTTTCATTCTCACCTTCTCTTGATTAGGATCTCTGTCTCTCGTAATACATGATTTCTTATGTTCAGTTAAATGTATTATTTTTCTAACATTTTACAGGAATATCTGCAGTTGTAGAAACAAATACTGTAATTTGTGAATGGATGTTTCCTCAGAATTACAACTGTTACCCCTGCAGACTAGTTTCTTGATTATTTTGCACATATTCTTCTTAGTTCTTGTTATTTTATGGTTTCTCTAAACTCTGTTCCTAGTCTTCATAATCTGAAGTGCAGCCTAACATTGTTGGGTTTAGACAGGAAGTATGACAGATCGATTTCTGCAAACGGAACTTGAACTGGATTATCATAAGTCAGTGCTATTACAGTCTTCAGGCATTACAAGATCTTTGAAGCTAAGTGCAACCAAATCGGGCATTACAGGCTTATTCTGTATGAAGTTGTCAGTGCATTGCAGACGGTGTGCTATATTAGAAGCAGTTCTGGACTAGGTAGGTGGACCAGGATGTGGTCCCTCACATGTAAGATGAAATGAAGATAACACGAGTGTCATGCATCGCAAAGTTACTGCTTGGAACATGCGATGATGGCTATAAAAGGGGTTAGTAAATGTGAAAAGCACTCTGGAAAAATTCTGTTCATTCTATCTTGAGTAATGCTGGTAGATGGAACAATAGGGTGAAGGGTGTCCGAGAAAGTATGTGTAACCAGATCCATTAAGTTAAAGTTGGCTGGTAGTAGATCGAAGATGTCTTGTCACTTTGGGAGGCCAAGAAAGTGGATCACCTGAGGTTAGGAGTTCGAGACCAGGCTGGCCAACATGGTGAAACCCCATCTCTACCAAAAATAAAAAAATTAGCTGGGCCTGGTGGTGCATGCCTGTAATCCTAGCGACTGGAGAGACTGTGACACAGCAACCACTTGAACCTGGGGGGCAGAGGTTGCAGTGAGCTGAGATTGCAGCACTGCGCTCCAGACTGGTCCAGCCCAGGCTACAAAGTGAGACTCTGTGTGTCCCCGAGCCGCCACTCCCACGAAGAAAAAAATGTCATGTTGTGTTCACATGCTGTGAAGCAAAATACTAGTATGATATGATGATAGTAATATTCCACGATTATAGTTTTATGTTACAGTTAATTTTTCTAACTACAACAAACTAAGGTCTCAGCATTTTCAGTACTTTCTGCAATGATAATTCAATAAAGATAACTTTTGTAGGCAGCACAATCATCTTTTGCTTTATTTTCACAATTTTGAGAGAAGTCATCACCATTCTAATTTTTCTTCTTAAATTTTTTGTTAACATTTAATTTTATTTTATTCATTTATGTATTTATTTTTTGAGATGCAGTCTTGCTCTGTCACCCAGGCTGGAGTGCAGTGACTCCATCTCCCCTCCCTGCAACTTCTGCCTCCTGGGTTCAAGCGATTCTCCTGCCTCAAGATTGCAGGCAGACACCACCACACTTGGCCAATTTTTGTATTTTTAGTAGAGATGGGGTTTCACCATGTTGGCCAGGCTGGACTCAAACGCCTGACCTCAGGTGATCAGTCCACCTCAGCCTCCCAAACTGTTGGGATTACAGGCGTGAGCCACCGTGCCTGGCTTGTGTTAACATTTCTGATAGAGCATCTTCTTTTATTGTTTAAAAACTATATACCTCTCCCCTCATGGAAGCAATGACAAGCAAGTATATAGGATTTTTCCAAGGATGTTTGGTGATCTCCTAAATGTATAGGCTGTTCGTTAAAAAGTGAACATAAATGTTTAGAATGAAACCATTTCGTTTAAATGGGGAAGTGAAGGGCTTGCCTGGGCATTTCCATCTGCCTACTGGAATTGATTTCAGCATAAATAGTCGTTTCTGGCGCGTGTTGCAGCAGCACTGTTAAACTGCATATACCGAAATTATTGTGTAAAATTGTGTTACAATCTAAACACTTCTAATGTGATCTTTAAAAAAAAGAAATGTAGAGACAGATCTCACTTTGTTGCCCAAGCTAGGCTTGAACTTCCGGGCTTAAACCGTTTTCCCACCTTGTCCTCCCAAGGTGTTAGGATTACAGGAGTGAGCCACTGAGCCTGGCCTAAATGATCTTAACATTTAATTTTTGCATGTGTTGCTAAACTGCCTGGGGAAAGTTTCTTTAGCCTGGTTGAGTTTACCAGTACTACTCCCCTTGAAGCTCTACATCAGAAGGAATCCATTATCTCTTTGATTTATTTTTTTTAACCTAAGATCCGCTGTTTTGAATTTATTTTTGACTTCGACAGGTAAGTGGCATAAGTAAGGATGTCCCACCACTACCAAGAGTCAATCCATTGAGAAATTAAGTTATTTCTGTTGCAACAGGTTATTTTAACAAATGGCATCTTAAAGTGTTATTTCGCATTCTAATTTACTAAAAAAATTACTATATGAACAAGAAGTGGGAAGCAACCACAGTTAACTTGTGAGTCAGCAGTATCCTGATCTTCTTCAAAGTGGTTGTGGTTATATTAACTCCTTTCTTATTTGTTTCCTGTTCTTAGCAGCTGCTTGATAATAAAGTGCTTCCAAGAACAGTATTCCCTCAATTGTTTACATTGTTTTCATCTACCTAGTGTACTGTCCCCTAAAATTTGTGATGAAATGGTAGACTAAATCTATCTATATCTCTCTCCCCAAGTTCCATTTAACTAGATTAATTAATTATCCTCAAATTAAATACCCATGTCTGTATACTGAGGTATTAACACATGATTCAATATGATATTAAGGTAAAAATGGAATAAATAGGGTGAGATAGCTGAAAGACGTGGGCTTTCTGTGTTTTGAGAAGCTATTTTCTTTTCTTCTCTTTTTTTTTTTTTTTTTTTTTTTTTTTTTTTTGAGGCAGAGTCTTTATCACCCAGGCTGGAGTGCAGTGGCACAACCTCAGCTCACTGCAACCTCCACCTCCCAGGTTCAAGTGATTCTCCTGCCTCAGCCTCCCTAGTAGCAGGGATTACAGGCGTTCTCCACCATGCCTGGCTGATTTTTGTATTTTTCATGAAACAGGGTTTCACCATGTTGGTCAGGCTGGTGTCATACTCCTGACCTCAGGTGATCTGCCCACCTCAGCCTCCCGAAGTGCTGGGATTACAGGCATGAGCCACGTGCCCAGCCCCAAGGAGCTATTTTCATGGAGATAAACTTGTTCAAGTGGTTAAGCAGCTGAAAGGCCTGGTTTGTCTTCTGGAATTTCCCAAGATAAACCTTTCCTCTTACCAGTGAGGAAAATTTTACCAACAGAAATTATTATTGCAGATGTGTAGGTTCCCACAGAATATTTTTGTTACATTTTTGTGGGGTAACAAGGGGCAAATCCTACTCATGTAGTTTAATAAGCAAAATAAGCCTAAGAGATTGAGCAAAGGTTTGCTGACCAGTGTCATACCCTACAGATATTATTCATTTAACTAATTTTTATAGGCCTGTTATGTGCTAGGCACTGTGGTAAGTATTGGGAATACGTTGGTTGCAACTTTCAGTCTCTGCTTTTATTTTTGAAATGCTGAATATTTTTCTGAGTATTTGAGATATTTGAAAAAGACACCCAGATGCATTGGAACCCAATCATTTTCTGTGTGCTAAAAGAAAAAGACACCCAGAGAACATGCTGGTATTTTTTTCAACACTCAATAAAAAGGTGCGTCAAGATAAGAGAGCGCTTTTCTGATTATTGAATTTAGGAAAATGCATCGTTCACTTTAGAGTGAGTACCAAAGTCTTAAGAAAACTTAACATTGGGAAATCACTAAATTAAAAATCTAGAAGAGAGTATCAGTTTTCAGTCTTTAGTGATAGAATGCTTTGGTCTCACTTGAGCATTGTAATTCTAGAGTAATAAGTATTTTCACCATTTGGGCTTGTTGATTGTAATGGTGGGCTCCTTTCTATTTGTGTTCTAAACAGAGGGGATGGTTTTGTAAGGTTGGTGTCCCGTTTTTTGCTTATTTTTCCCTCAGAGAGGAAAGGTTGCTATCAGAAAGCAATGTATATATAAAGACATTATTGAAGATGGGTATTAATTACTTAACAGTATAGGTGACATATTAGAAACAGAGAAAGTGCTAAATAAGTCATGATTATTGTATTTTAAGTGTTTCTCATTAATTTATCAAAATTGCCTGGATCATTGTTTTCCCAGAGAATTAAAAACCTTACTCCTATATGTAAATGACTTTTTAAAGCAAATAAGTTGGTGTGAAAAAGACAGCATCTGCCATTTTCTTTCTGTGCTAATAAGTGTATCATCAAAAATTGAAACTTTTTGAAAATGTTTAAAACCTTCTCTTGAGTGTAAGGAAAAAATCAAACAAGGCAGAGAGCCTTTCAGCCTTGGCAGAGATACAAATTTAGTTTACCTTGTGAAATCTAACACTTGAGGACGTTTCCATTTTAATTTTGTTGTTCCGGAGCATAAGACTTTTTTTCTGTATAACTTTGTGCATCTTTTGAATGTTATAGTGACGTAGCAGATAGGGCAGCTGTAGGACATGATGACATTTTTCTTTTAGAAGACTGGTTGATGTGAATGGCTGGCATAATTGATTTTATTTATTAAATACTTTTTAAAGTCATATATAGTATAGTTTTAAAAATCAAATGGTGTAGAAGGACTCACTACGATGAAAAGCGTTAGTCATTTTGTCCGTTTCACCCTCTTTCGTCTTCTACTGGTGTCAGTCACTTTTCTTTTTTCCTTTGAGACTGAGTCTCTGTCGCCACACTGGAGTGCAGTGGCGCTATCTCAGCTCATTGCAACCTCCACCTCCCACGTTCAAGTGATTATCCTATCTCAGCCTTCTGAGTAGCTGGGATTACAGCTTCACACCACCACACCTGGCTAATTTTTTTAATTTTTAGTCTGATGAGTTTTCACCATGTTGGTCAGGCTGGTCTCAAACTCCTGGCCTTGTGATCCTCCCACCTTGGCCTCCCAGAATGCTGAGATTACAGGCATAAGCCACCACGGCAGCTTTTTTTTTTTTTTTTTTTTTTTTTTTTTTTTTTTTTTTTTTTTTTTTTTGGATGGAGTCTTGCTCTGTCACCCAGGCTGGACTCTGGCTCACTGCAACCTCCGCCTCCCAGGTTCAAGTGATTCAACCTTCGCCTCCCAGGTTCAAATGATTATGCTGCTTCAGCCTCTGGAGTAGCCGGAATTACAGGAGCCTGCCACCATGCCCTGCTATTTTAAAAAAAATTTTTTTTTATTTTTAGTAGAGATGGGATTTCAACTGGTTATCAACTCCTGACCTCAAGTGATCCACCCACTTCAGCCTCCCAAAGTGCTAGGATTACAGGTGTGAGTCACCGTGCCCGGCCTGGTGTCACCTGCTTTAAACTTTATTTTTAGTACTGCTAGTGAGGCTCTGTACCTCTTAAGAAATATATTACTGCAGAATACCTATATATATTTGTCAGTGCTGGTTTTTGAATAACTTTAGATGTCTGTTGACGTTAATGTAAATGAACTAAATACTCGTTGATACCTCTTCTATGGTTTTTGCTGTTTCATTGCATTGTTAACCAATTGATCTTTACCATACCTAAACTTCTGTTTCTTTCTCTATCGCCAGAAGGAATATCTCTAGATTTCTCACTTTTAAAATGAGGATATTGGCACTCACATCCTTCCTTGGAAAAACTTAAGACCAAAGTTCACGGCATATGTTAAAATATGTAGTTGCATACACAAAGACATTGACCAAGTTGAGTGTTTGAAAGTGTATGCGAAGCTATATGAGAAAAGCATAGCATAGCTTTGGAAGAAATCAAAAGATAGCATAGTTTATTTACTGGACGAGTTACTGAATAGACTTCTTAAAGGAGCTCAGGAATTGTGGCATCGAACTACTGAGAAGAAAATATAAAAGCATACTACTTAACTCTGCCAAATCATGAGTTTAAATATTATTTATTTACTGTTGTTCACTCTCTAGATTCAATCTCTATCCAGGGGACAGAAAGTTTAATTATGAATCTGTAATAAAGAACATTATTATTTCTTACCCAACTTCAAATTTTTTAATATAATCCATAGTATGAAATTTTAATTTTTATTTTTTTAATATGATCCATAGTATGAAAATTTAATTTTTATGAAATTAAATTTTAATTCATAACCTGAGACAATATACATGCAACTGAAAACAAGTATTTTGACTGAACAGTATCCTTACTATAAACAGTATTTTACCAGAGTACATATAGTCTGAATAGTCTCTAATTTAAAAAAATTTACAACCCAGTAAATGAATTTCATGACCAGACTACTGTACTAAACATCAGGTATGAACTAAGATATAAAGTTACTACACCTTTTCATTGGATAAAAAGTAAAGTGGCAATTAAGTTATACATTTTTCTCTCTTCATAGGACATTGGCCCTCTGGATTATCAAGAGTTTGTAGTTGACATTGAATCCAGGCTGAGGATGGAAGGTGTGGAACTTAAAGAAGAATGGCAAGATGAAGATTTTCCAATGTGAGCAGTGCTTTTAAATGAAAACAATTTTAGAACAAACTTCAAAATTTCTTTATTGAGATGTCACTTTTTTGAGTCTCGCTCTGTCATCCAGGCTGGAGTGCAGTAGTGCAATCTCAGCTCTCTGCAACCCCTGCCTCCCGGGTTTAAGCAGTTCTCCTGCCTCAGGCTTCTGAGTAGCTGGGACTACAGGCATGTGCCACCACGCCCAGCTTATTTTTGTATTTTTAGTAAAGACTAGGTTTCACCATATTGGCCAGGCTGTTCTCGAACTCCTGACCTCATGATCCACCCACCTTGGCTTCCCAAAGTGGTAGGATTACAGGCATGAACTACCGTGCCCCACCGAGATGTCACTTTTTAAGTGAATATTTGGCTTCTTAAACTCAGTAATACAAGGTGATCATGTGATGCTAGGAAGTAGAAGTTTCTTTTCAACAGTTAGATTGATTCTCTTCTATCTTACTTTCCAACCAAATATATATGTAGTCTTCTATAATCTTTCATTTTTGTTTTGGACATTTAAGTTTCCAAACTTTTATTTCCTTTTTGTTCTTGTTGAGACGGAGTCTTGCTCTGTTGCCCAGGCTGGAGTGCAGTGGCGTGATCTCAACTCATTGCATCCTCCGCCTCCGAGGGCCAAGCAGTTCTTCTATCTCAGCCTCCCAAGTAGCTGGGATTACAGTCATGTGCCAGCACACCTGGCTAATTTTTTTTTTTTTTTCTGTATTTTTAGTAGAGATGGGTTTTACCATATTGGCCCGCCTGATCTCGAACTCCTGACCTCGTGATTCACCCACTTTGGACTTGCAAAGTGCTGGGATAACAGGCATGAGCCACTACACCTGGCCCCCTTTTTTTCCTTTAAACTAGGTCTGAGGGATTCCTCAGAGAAGGGGTCTTTAGTTGTTTTTAAAATTTTTCTTTATGACCAGCTGCAGTGGCTCACACCTGTAATCCTAAGACTTTGGGAGGCTGAGGTGGGCAGATCGCTTAGGGCCGGGAGTTTGAGACCAACCAGGCCAACATGGCAAAGCGCCATCTCTACTAAAAATACAAAAAATTAGCCAGGTGTGGTGGCATGCATTTGTAGTCCCAGCTGCTTAGAAGCCAGAGGCACAAGAATTACCTGAACCCTGGAGCCAGAGGTTGCAGTGAGGTGAGATCATGCCATTGCACTCCAGCCTGGGCAACAGAGCAAGGCTCTGACTCAAAAAATAATAATAATTTTGTGGGATCCCCTCCCCCCCCAAAAAAAAAAAACCTTACTAAGTAAATTAACAAGGATTTTCTACCTCGTCTGGCCAGCCACCTTGACATGTTGCATTTGTATTTACAATTGTATTGGCACCAGGTTGGCTAATGAAAAGAGAGCAAAGGCAGACCTTATAATGAAATAGTGCTTCCATGCCATAGTGATCAGAAGATATCCTAGTCCATAATCAGGTGCTTTAGCAGTTGAAAGATGGACAGCTGATAGGAGACCTGAGTCATTGTTGCACATGGTGGTGACAGTAATATAGGAACGCTGATCTCAGAAGAAATGAACCATTGTTACTGTAGTCTCATTGTGAGTAAAAATTGAGCTTCATACATTGCACCATAGATCACATTATATTTGTGCATTTCAGTTATAGTTGTTTAAAATTTTTACATGTTTTATGATTCTGTAATACCTATTGCGTGAGGTATTTATATCTGTTTTTGTGTGTTGCTTATATATAATAAGTGTGTAAGTCAGCTCTGACAGTCTGAGAATTTTTAAAGCGTAGCCAAGCACAGCAGCTCACGCCTATAATCCTAGTGCTTTGGGAGGCCAAGGCAGAAGGATTGCTTGAGACCAGCCTGGGCAGTATAGCAATACCCGGTCTCTACAAAAAACCTTAAAAATTAGCCGGGCTTGGTGGTGTGCAACTGTAGTCCTAGCTACTCAGAAAGCTGAGGCTTTATCTTAAACGCTGCTTAAGCTGGGCACAGTGGCTCACGCCTGTAATCCCAACACTTTCGGAAGTTGAGGCGGGAGAATCGTTTGAGCCTAAAAGTTCGAGGCCAGCCTGGGCAACATAGCAAGACCCTGTCTCTACTAAAAATTAGCCATGTGTGGTGGCACGCACCTGTAGTCCCAAATAGGAGGATCTGTAGAGCCAAGGAGTGAAGGCTGAAGTGAGCCATGATTGCGCCATTGCGCTCCAGCCTAGGTGACGGAGCAAGTCCCTGTCTCAAAAACAACACCACCGCTTCATTCCATTTTCCACGTAATTATTTCTATAAGCTGTATGTTTAATAGATTGAACTTGAAAAAAATTCTTTCTTAATTTCTGGGTTAAAAAGTATGCCTGTGTCTTCTAGACCTTTACCAGAAGATGATAGTATTGAAGCAGATATACTAGCTATAACTGGACCAGAGAACCAGCCAGGTAAGAGCTTAACACTTTTACTTTCAATGAAATGATGGACTTTTTGATTTTTTTTTTTTTTAACACATTTCTTTGTCCAAAAAAAAAACAACTTGAGTTTTTATTCCATCGCAGAAGTCAAGGTATAAGCTTAACATTGAGGGAAGCATTTTTAGAAAGCTTTAAAAAATTAACTTCCCAAAACATACGCTTGGTTTTTGGAAAGTTTTACAGAAAACAGGTGGGAGGAAATCATTTTTATTGGCAAGAGGTCTCTATAAGGTCTGCCTCCATTTTAAAAACATTGATAGTTTATTGATCTCTTGCCAACAATGTAGAAGCAGTAGTGATCAGAATCAAAATTTTGTAAATAGGTGCTTTGAAGTTATGTTTAATGGATATTATTTTTCTCAAGAATGGAATTTTTCTTATTTATCTTTAGTATCTAAGCATTTTTTTGTTACATATCTTTTTATTTTCCAATTCCAGGTTCCCTAGAAGTTAATGAAAATAAAGTGAGAAAGAAACTAATGGCTCCAGACATTAGCCTGACACTGGATCCTAGCGATGGCTCTGTATTGTCAGATGATTTGGATGAAAGTGGGGCAATTGACTTAGATGACGTAGACACGCCATCTGAGAATAGTAACGAGTTTGAGTGGGAAGGTAAATGTTTCACTGTTTTTAATCTGATCTTTATTAATGTATTAAGGGATTTTGCTTGAAGTATGTAATTCTTTCTGAAGTTCATTTATTTGTTACTAAGATATGAAATTCTGCTAACACTTGAATATTCTCACGGACTTCAGAACTGTATATAGTAGATTACACCAGTTTTTTCCCCCTCTTATTTGCCCAGTGCTGTCACGTTTTTTTCATAGTTGCTTAAAAAATATTTCTTGATAATTATGGCATGCTCATTTTCAGTTAATCAAGTAAGAAACTTTTGAAGCGACATGTAGTTAACAGTTTGTGGGAAGGGAGTTCTGAAAGGCATTTTGGGGGTGACTTTTTAAATAGACTTACCTGACATTGCTCTACTTTGTAAAGTGACCAACTTAAATTAATACATACTTTTAGCCCCCAGACCTAGTATTTCTTATCATTATTTATTTGTAATTCAAAGGAATTGTGCTGTGTTTTACTTTGCATGCTTTCTTTAATTAGAAAAGTGTCTACAGTATCTTACATATACTAGTTATAATTTTTATATATGGTTTTTCCATCTTGAAAATGTTTTTTTTTTTTCCCAAAGTAGTGTTTAGCATTCAGTATTTTATTATAATAAAGTGTGATGTGCTATATTTTTGGTTTCTTTTTTCTTCTCTGTTTTACTGGTTCATTAAACAGTCCAGTAATAAGCAGTGTTTTATAAAGATACTGAAATAGTTTTGTGCCTGTGTGTTTTGTCTCTTCTTTCTTTAATGCTGCTGTAGTCATTTCCTGGAAGGATATTTTCCGTTAACAGCTTTGTCTTGGAAACAACTAACATGCAGTAGGTTCCCCCTTCCCCCATCTTTTGGTAAGGACTATAATACTGGAATTTTGAAAATCATTACTAAATTAATAATCAGCTAAACTGCAATCTCAAAACATAAATTACACCTAATCATTGGTGCTTATGCTTTGGCTAATGCTAATTTAAATAGACTTCTGCATGTATACCTCAAAATATCATAAATACATTTCTGCTTTATAAAGCTGATCAAATGAGAAGTGATCATTGAGTAGTTAACCACTTCCTATCTGGTATTACAGTTAATTTATGTGCTCAGCAACAGCAAAATTGGCTCCCAGATAGCTTCTTAAGATAACCTATAGTCATAACTGCCAGGGACAGCCGTGTCACAGTTTGAATATGGAAAGGTGTTGAAAGGCCAGTGTGCTAAGATTTTGATGACTCTATGAATTAATATTTTCTGAACTTTGGATATACATTGTTCTGTGATTAGGTGTTTTTTTGTTGAATTGGGCAATAAAAAAATTTAAAGAACCATGATTTCCAAAGATTTAAGATGGCCTCAGGTTAAGAATAGGCCTTTTCCTCCATTATGGAAGAGACGTTTAAAATTGCGCCCATTGGCCTGGCATGGTGGCTCACGCTTGTAATCCAAGCACTTTGGAGGCCAAGGCGGGTGAATCACCTGAGGTCGGGAGTTCAAGACCAGCCTGACCAACATGGTGAAACCCCATCTTTATAAAAAAAGAAGAAAAAAGAAAAGATAAATAAATAAAATAAAATTGTGCTCATAGTATAATGAAAATTCTCTGAAAAACCTGGATAGTAAAGTGGTTAACATATAATATGATTTTTGTTGTATAACAGTTTGTGATTCAAAAACTTTTTATTTTCACAGATGATCTTCCAAAACCCAAGACTACTGAAGTGATTAGGAAAGGCTCAATTACCGAATATACAGCAGCAGAGGAAAAAGAAGATGGACGACGCTGGCGTATGTTCAGGATTGGAGAACAGGACCACAGGGTTGACATGAAAGCAATTGAACCCTATAAAAAAGTTATCAGCCATGGGGGTAAGAGTTACTGAGGATTTCTCAGATTGCTTAATGCAATATCAGATTTCTAAATGCTTTTAGAAACTCTGCCTAGAGATATCATGTAATTTTGAAAGAATAATAAGCATTTCTCATATCATTTTAGAAACATGACAAGGTTAAAGTACAAGAATAAAGCTACTATTTAAAAATGATTATATGCATACCGGAAGTTGAAAAAGTACAAAAGAATTTGTAGGGAGAACTGTCAGGTTCGGCACAGTGGCTCAGGCCTGTAATCCCAGCAGCTTGAGAGGCTGAGGCAGGAGGATTACTTGAGCTCAGGAGTTCAAGACCAGATTGAGCAACATAGACGTTGTCGCCACAAAAAAAAAAAAAAAAAAAAATAGCCAGGAGCGGTGGCGTGTGTCTGTAGTCCCAGCTACTTAGGAAGCTGGGGTGGGAGGAGAGAGAGCGTGAGCCTGGGAAGTTGAGGCTGCAAGTGAGCCATGATCATGCCACTGCACTCCAATTTTTTGTTTGTTTTGTTTTTTGACAGACCCTGTCTCAAAAAAATTTAAAAAAAAAAATTTTTTTTAACTGTCTGTAGGCCACCGAAAAGTGGGACTGCCCTTTCTCCCTAAGTTATAAACTGTGAAATGCTCTGATCTTAAGCGTATAGTTCAGTGAGTTTTGGCAAATAGATACACATGTATATAACCCACACCCCTAAATGTATAGTATATTTTTAGTGTCCCAGAAGAATTTTTTAATACCCCTTCCCAGTAAATACTCACTTCCAGTAGCCACTATCATATCTACCCCCTGATTAGTTTTGCCTGTTCTAGAATTTCATATATAGTAACTAAAATCATCCTATGCTCTCTTTGGTCTACTTTTCACCATGAAGTTTTTGAGATTCATCCATATGGTTGCACGTATCCACAGTTCATTCCTTCTTATTGCTGAGTAGTTTTCCATTGCATGGAGAAACCATAATTTGCTTAACCATTCTTTTTTTGGTTGTGCGTGTGAGTTCTTTCTAACTTGAGCTATTATAAACAAATTGCTTTTTTTTGTGGATATAAGTAAAACTTGGACTTTCAAACTTGTAAGTCTTAGTTTACCTTAAAACTCTGAACAAATTATTTTTTAATAGATTTTTTTTTTTTTTTTTTTTGAGACGGAGTTTCGCTCTTGTTACCCAGGCTGGAGTGCAATGGCGCAATCTCGGCTCACCGCAACCTCCGCCTCCTGGGTTCAGGCAATTCTCCTGCCTCAGCCTCCTGAGTAGCTGGGATTACAGGCACGTGCCACCATGCCCAGCTGATTTTTTGTATTTTTAGTAGGGATGGGGTTTCACCATGTTGACCAGGATGGTCTCGATCTCTTGACCTCGTGATCCACCCGCCTCGGCCTCCCAAAGTGCTGGGATTACAGGCGTGAGCCACCGCGCCCGGCCCACACCACATTTTTATAGAGCACCCACTTTGCATATTTATGGGGTATACAAAAATACAAGGTTTAAGTCCCTTAAGAAATAGGAAAAGCTATAAGTTTAAGTTATAAATCCTTTCAGTCTAACAGTACCATATATAGAAGTTTACCTAGGCGTGTTGTAAATAGTGCTGGAATGTTAGTGCCAAGTCAGAACACAACTCACTATAGAGTATGTCATACTACTTTAAATTCTCCTAATGCAGGACAGGGGGGCACATGGGTCAAGCAGATTGATGTTTTTTTCTAAGTTATTTCCGCTTAATTTACTCTCTACCAAATGCATTCCCCTGCTTATTTCTATAGTCTTCATTCATCTGAAAGCAAATCACATGAATATTTGTAGTTGCATTCTTCTGCCTAATTTAATCTTACTCAGATGAAGAAAATGGCATAATCTGGATCAGGAAGTCCACCGACATACATTATTGAGCTAGCTCATAGGAATCAAATTATAAGACCTGATTTATAAGCTTACATCTTTTATCTTTCAGAAATAACACTTTTTTGTGGGGGAAGTAATCAAGGCCACCTTATCCTTTTGCATCATCACAATATATTTTGTGACTAATTAAGAAAGATAGTGAAGATTCTGATGTTCTTGAAATGTTCAAATCTTTTCACGTGCAAATTTATAAACAATAGAAATGAAGGTTACAGCAGATGTGTTTGTTACTAATTATGGGCTTAATATCTGAAGACTGCAGTTGAAACATGGACATTTTATCACTGTTTTTTGTTACTGAAAATTATGTCAGAGATGTAATTTAGTTTAGTGTTTTTTTTTTTTTTTTGAAACCAAGTGTTACTCCGTCACCCAGGCTGGAGTGCAGTGGTGCAGTCTCGGCTCACTGCATGCTCTGCCTCCCAGGTTCAAGTGAATCTCCTGCCTCAGCCTCCTAAGTAGCTGGGGCTACGGTTCCACACCACCACTCCCGACTAATTTTTTGTATTTTTAGTAGAGATGGGGTTTCACCATTTTGGTCAGGTTGGTCTTGAACTCCTGGCCTCAAGTGATCTGCCCTCCTCAGCTTCCCAAAGTGCTGGTATTGCAAGCATGAGCCACTGTGCCCAGCCTAATTTAGTTTTGATATCCTAAATTCTACACAATGCTAGCATTTTTAAATATAAAACTTATGTTTTAAAAATCACCCACTTATGGGTCTGGTGAGGTGGCTCATGCCTAGCGCCAAAGGAGGAGGACTGCTTAAGGCTAGGAGTTCAAGACCAGTTTAAGCAACACTGAAACCCTATCTCTACAAAAATTTTTTTAAGGGCCGGGCGCGGTGGCTCACACCTATAATCCTAGCACTTTGGGAGGCCGAGGCGGGTGGATCACGAGGTCAAGAGATCGAGACCATCCTGGTCAACAAGGTGAAACCTCGTCTCTACTAAAAATACAAAAATTAGCTGGGCATGATGGTGCGTGCCTGTAGTCCCAGCTACTCGGGAGGCTGAGGCAGGAGAATTGCCTGAACCCAGGAGGCGGAGGTTGCGGTGAGCCGAGATCGTGCCATTGCACTCCAGTCTGGGCAACAACAGCGAAACTCCGTCTCAAAAAAAAAAAAAAAAAAAATTTTTTTTTAAAATTAACCAGGCATGTTTGTGTGCACTACAGCCTCAGCTCCTCTGGAGGCTGTAAGGTGGGAAGATCCCTTGAGCCCAGAAGTTCGAGGTTGCATGAGCTGTGATTGTGCCGCTTCACTCCATCCTGGCCAATAGAGCAAGACACCTATCTCCAAAAAATATTTTAAAATTAAAAAGCACCCACTTTAACCATAAGCGTGCATATATATATTTAATATATATTTAATGTATATATATATATTTAATTTAATTTATATATAAAAAATTAAAAATTAAAACAAACTTTCAAATGTTGTATAGTGTTGGTATTGTATTGGGTTATATCACTGCATTTGTCTACTTGATAAAATAGGGCTGGCATTTTAAGTATGCTTATTTAAGTGGTTTTGGGGTTTTTTTGTTTTTTCTGTCCACTGTCCTCTTTAAATTTTACTGTTCTCTTTTGGGGAAGAAGAAATTTAAAATTCTATGTAAGACCATATAAGATTTACAAAACATTTTAATTCATAAGTTTGTGAGAGGTAAACTGTTATTTATAATTTACCAATCATACAGATGTCTTCTGAAAATTCCTAAGAGTAAAATCATGCTGGTGTGTTTGGTGTCTTTTTCAGGATATTATGGGGATGGATTAAATGCCATTGTTGTGTTTGCTGTCTGTTTCATGCCTGAAAGTAGCCAACCTAACTATAGATACCTGATGGACAATCTCTTTAAGTAAGTATATATTTAACAAAAACATTTGGACAGAATTCTGAGCTAATTAGATCTACACTTTAAAAAACTTAAGGTGTGTAAAAATTATAAATATCCCGGTTCCTTGGGAGACTGAGGCGGGCAGATCACTTGAGTGCAGGAGTTGGAGACTAGCATGCGCAACATGACAAAACCCTCTCTCTACACAGACAAAAAATTAGCCAGGCATGGTGGTATGGGCCTGTAGCCCCACCTATGCAGGAGCCTGAGGCAGGGAATCACCTGAGCCTGTGAGGTCAAAGCTGCAGTGAACTGTGATTTTGCCACTGCACTCTAGTCTGAGTGACAGAGTAAGACCCTCTCCCAGAAAAATAAATATCCCAGTTCTGAAAGTGTCCGAATCTTTTCAAGTGCAAGTTTGTGTACGATAGAAATGAAGATTAAAGCCAAAGTATTTGTTACTAGATACGGGACTAGATGAGTCGTTATTCTCTGACATTATGAAATAATAGTTTTCCAACTCAAGAGAAAAATTGTCATTTTAAAACTGGGAAATAGATCTCAGATTAGTTGTTCCAACTTTTGTTTTGTTTTGAGACGGAGTTTCACAGTGTCACCCTTGCTGGAGTTCACTGATACAACAACGGCTCCCTGCACCCTTGACCTCACGGGCTCAAGCCATCTTCCTACCTCAGCCTCCCTAGTGGCCGGGACTACAGGCACATGTCACCACATCCAGCTGACTTTTTTATTTTTGGTAGAGACAGGATCTGACTAGGTTGCCAGGGTTAGTCTCAAACTCCAGGGCTCAAGTAAGCCACCATGTCCCACCTATCCCAGCTTTTTAATTTTACATTTGCAGTTACATTAAGTGTAAAGAAGTGATTTTTGTCCCAAAATCATGTGGCCACATTACATTCACCCCTAGAAGGCCAGTTTAACTGAACTGAATCAGTTCTATTTCCACAGGGTCATTCTGTTTCTCAGGTTAATCCAGTTTTTAAAAGCTTTGTTGTGGAAAGTTTTAAACATTCACAAGGGTAAAGAGAAGTAAATAAAATGTTCATTTATCAGTTACTTCAACAATTATCGATTTAAAGTTTGTTACCATTTCTCCCCCCAGTATATACTTTTGAAGCAAATCCCAGAAGCAAATCATTTTCATCTAAAAACATTTTCATATATATCTCTTAAAAAGTAACGTTTTCAAATAATCGTAATACCAGCTAATGCAGTTTGAGCATTTTCATTGTTTGCTTTCATTGTCGAGGAGAGAAGGGAATTGTATAATTTAGAGAATCTAGTTCAGTTATACACGGTGATTTTTAAGGCTTAAACTTAAATCTGTTTTTTACAGATACGTTATTGGCACTTTGGAGCTATTAGTAGCAGAGAACTACATGATAGTTTATTTAAACGGTGCAACAACTCGAAGAAAAATGCCCAGTCTGGGGTGGCTCAGGAAATGTTATCAGCAAATCGATAGAAGGTAATACAAATACAAGTTGAAAGCTAGTCTGAAAAGTTTTTATAATGGCTTTAATAGATCAAACTTTGTTTTCTGTTGCTATTTAAAAACATTTATTTTTAAAATTTCATTTATTAATTTCATGACACATTTCTATTTTCTATAACATTTTAGAATGTTATGAGGGAAATCAATTTTGATTTTTCTGTAAAGAATAACCTTAATTGGGCCGGGCGCGGTGGCTCAAGCCTGTAATCCCAGCACTTTGGGAGGCCGAGGCGGGTGGATCACAAGGTCAAGAGATCGAGACCATCCTGGTCAACATGGTGAAACCCCGTCTCTACTAAAAATACAAAAAATTAGCTGGGCATGGTGGCGCGTGCCTGTAGTCCCAGCTACTCAGGAGGCTGAGGCAGGAGAATTGCCTGAACCCAGGAGGCGGAGGTTGCGGTGAGCCGAGATCGCGCCATTGCACTCCAGCCTGGGTAACAAGAGTGAAACTCTGTCTCAAAAAAAAAAAAAAAAAAAAAAAAAAAAAAAAAAAAAAAAAAAAAAAAAAAAAAAAAAAAAAAAAAAAAAAAAAAAAAAAAAAAAAAAAAACCTTTTAATAAAAAAAAATAAAATAAAAAAAATAAAAAAAGAATAACCTTAATTCATAAAGTAGCTCTACATTTCTCCTTATTTATAAGGAGAAATTTTCTCCACATTGAACACTTTCCTACAGTTTACATCTTGGGAAAGGATGGAGAATGTAGTATGTTTCCTATTTTATTATATTCTGAGCTTTGCCTAATTTATAGTGCTTAGCTTGTTGTATGTTTTTGTTTTTTGCTTTGTTTTGAGACAGAGTCTCACTCTGTTACCTAGGCTGGACTGCAGTGGTGCAATCTCTGCTCACTGTAGCTGTGACCTCCCAGGCTCAGGTGATTCTCCCACCTCAGCCTCCCAGGTAGCTGGGTGTACAGGCGTGTACCACCACAGCCAGCTAATTTTTGTATTTTTTGTAGAGACAGCGTTTCAACATGTTGCCCAGGCCGCTTCTCTAACTCCTGGACTGAAACCATCCACCTGCCTTAGCCCCCAAAGTGCTGGGATTACAGGCATGAGCCGCAGTGCTCAGTCTTACATTTCTTAGTAATGCTTGTTTAGCTGTAATCTTTCTTTGGTTTAGAAGTGTATTCTCTTGGGAGTTAGTCATCAGTACTTAATGGAAGGAGAGTGCTCTTCCAATTGGTTTGATCTTGCCATGGCTAATTTAAATCAAGTCTGTACCATTAATAATTTTCTCTTCACATCTGAATTTGACATTGGGTAGCTCCTGTGATTATATAACTTGATGTGTGAAAATATACATAATACAATAAGTTTTTATTTAGTCATTTACAAAGAAGCTGTCTAGGATAATACCTTTAATTTTTAATCAAAACTTTAAATTCCATAAGAATAGGAGTTAGATCTGATTTGTTTTTGTTCCTGTGGTCATCTCCCCCGCGCACAGACTTCTCTGCCTTTGCAGTGCTTTAAGAACTTAGCACCAGTTTCTCCCTAGTCTTGGAAAATGAGAATAGTTTACTTTTATATTCTTTTATATTGGCCTCTTTCCCTGGTTGACAGACTCCCAAAGACAAGTGAATGTGTATGCTAGGAGACATTTAATAACAGGCTATACTATGGACATAAATTTGGCCAAATAAAGTTCATTTCATAGCAGTAGGAAGAACCATCGAAATTCAAGAGTGTACTTTCTTGTCTACAGGAATATCACACCTAAATGAGAACTCTTGGGTGAGATTTTTCAATTACTGCTTTGTACAAACTTGCACATATTTATTGAGGTCTTGACTTTTAGCATTAGAATTTGTAGAGATTTTTAATTTTTGTTTGTTTGTTTGTTTGTTTTAACTCCAGGTTACGGAAAAATCTAAAATCCCTAATCATTGTCCATCCTTCTTGGTTTATCAGAACACTTCTGGCTGTTACAAGACCATTTATTAGGTAATTTTTGAGAGCCATTGACTTTAATTTTATTTTTACTTCTTTTTTTTCCATTTATTTTCAGTTGACACATATTAACTATAGTATTTATGGAATACAGAGCTGTATTTTGATATGTGTATACCTTGTATAACAATCAGAGCAGGGTGACTAGCACATCCATCACCTCAGACATTTATCATCCTTGTGTGTTGAACGTTCAAAATTATATAATTTTTTTAAAAAAATTTCTTATATCCATTTGTATATAAGAAATTTTTGTATCTTGTAAACATTGTTTCCATTCTGTTTGTCAGAAACATGGAGGTAATTATTTTTGTTTTCTTTCATAGCTCAAAATTCAGCCAAAAAATTAGATACGTCTTTAATTTGGCAGAACTAGCAGAACTTGTCCCCATGGAATACGTTGGCATACCAGAATGCATAAAACAGTATGTTTTGTTTTATTTCCTTAATTGTATTGGATCTTAATATTTTGATGTGCAACAGGCAATCCTTTTCAATACTCATTCTTTATGCATTATGTGTCATAACTGTGTGTGTGTGTGTGTGTGTGTGTGTGTGTGTGTGTGTGTGTGTGTGTGTGTATAACAAAGAAAAAGAGGAAGAAGCCATTTCCTACATCGTCCCAATAAGTTAGCATTTTCTTCAGGCTGTCAGCTGAAGAACTAAGAGAAATTATTTCTGGTTGTGATCCATGTTATTCTTTCATAGAGTGGTTATAATCTAAGAGATGATTTTTCTAATTGATTAGTACTAACGAACATTCTCCAAAGTTGAACATGGTGCTCAATTTGAGTAAATTCATCATGAATAATCATTGCTAAACAAATAAAAATATTTAAGTCAACATAACTTTAATGTTTTCCAGTGACGAAATTTTGTTCTCTTTATTAGATTCACATTCTTCCATGTAACTTCTTGGACTTGGTAGAAGGCTATTAGCATAAATACCTGAGTATTACAATGCATGTAGAAAAGTTTCTTTGTTCTGCTCACCTGAGGTTTTAGTCTATTTAGTGTGTGATGGTCAGATTTTTACTTTGGACATCATGTATTAAGTATTTTTGGTTTTGCTGGAAAATTTAAATGAGTTTATTTTTAGTACCTTTTTTCAAGTTTTTGTTCATCTTCATAATATGTATATTTACTGAAATAACTCTTCCCTACAAAGGTATGAAGAAGAAAAGTTTAAAAAGAAACGAAAAAGGTATATGCACACCTCGACTGGGTTGCATCTAGACTAGTCCATTTGCATTGCAGACTAACTCCTCCTTATTGGTTGGTTAGCTTGTAGACAAAGATAATAGCATTTGTAAATATAAATATACCCCAACTTCCAAATACAGGGTGAACCCAGAGTTCCTAAGGCTGAATATGACCGGATTCACCATGTTTTATTGCCTTATTTGATGCCAATTAGTAGTTAAAGACTCTTCTCTTTCCTTCTTACTCTAAATACTAATGGTGAAAGCAGAGAAATTACTAAAAATGATATTTGGAACACCAAATACTTTTAAGACGTTATCTGTTTCACCATTTTCTTTAAATCGCTAACTTGTGCTTTTGAAATAGTTATGCATACGTTTTTAAAGTTATCAATTTATTTCCTTGGGGTTATTTATTATATTTGCAATGCATATATTCTTTGGCTAACCAACATTAATTTCCTTTTTCGCTTAAATTAAATGGCTTGCTAACCAGTCAAATTCTACATGTGATGAAATACCTAAAATCTCAATGTACCACTTAACAATTAAACACTCTGCTTTCTATTTTAAATTTTATTTTGAACACCTCTGCTTTGAGCATAACAAACTATTATCTACTGATACCTTGGCGTAGATGATGTAAGGCAAGGGTATACAGTACTTACAATTTTATGTAATAATTTCGAAAGATGTAGAATTTGGAGCTAGTTGTCAAATCTTTAAAATATTGGCAGTTAAATTAGCACAACATAGTTTAATACAATCTAAAGAGTTATGGTGAGAGATTTATATGTAATTGTCTTGTCCATTCTAAGGAGCCAACTGTAACTAACTGGAATATTCTTAACTTTGAACACATTTTGTTTCTGTTGATGAGTGAGAATTCAGTAGGCCCTGTGATAGAATCAGTTTTACACTTCTATATGACACTTCACAGTTTAACCAACACTTTAACATAGAAAGGTAGACACTGATCATGCTGATTTCTCATCCGTCTCTAGGCATTCCTGTGCATTTGCTAGACAAGTGGCTGAAATTAAAAATATGGTAATTGTAGAATATTTTGAAGCTAGCTGCTTCATAGATTTCAAAGTGAATTGCCTTTGTTGATGAAATGTCCTGTATTAAGCCCTTTTTTAAAAAAGTTTTTAATACTGCAAAAAAGTAATTTAGACATCAGGAAAACTGTGGAATTTATACTTTTTATTGAAATTCATTGTTTGAAACCTGTCACTATTTTATTTTGATTTTTTTTTTCACTTGGGTTTAACCATAAACAGAATTATTGCTTGTATCTTTTAGAAACTTTATGGTTTTTGTAGTTTCTTTCATCTTAAAAAATAATAAATTTTTGTCAATCTGAAAATAAAATTTTAAATTAAATTTAGATAGAGAGGCATGTTTTGTTTTGAGACAGAGTTTCTCTCTTGTCACCCAGGCTAGAGTGCAGTGGCACATTCTCAGCTCACTTCAGTCTCCGCATCTTGGGTTCAAAGGATTCTCTTGCCTCAACCTCCCAAGTAGCTGAGATTACAGGTTCCTGTCACCACGCCCAGCTAACTTTTGCATTTTTAGTAGAAACAGGGTTTTACCATGTTGGCCAGTCTGGTCTCAAACTCCTGATCTCAGGTGATCTGCCCACCTTGGCCTCCCTAAGTGCTGGGATTACAGGTGTGAGCCACCACACCCAGCCATGTTTTTAAAAGCAAACCTTACAGAGGCTATGTGCAAAGGAGCTTATCTGAGGTGACAACTCCATGACATGATAAGTACTGGTGCTAAAGAGAGTATGAAACTATGAGTCCCTGTGGCAGGATTTGGGGGAGCAGGGGAAGAAGGGGTAAAAGCATTTTATTGAGGGGCTTGTGGGGAAGAGGGTTGAAGAAATGCTGACAATAGTGAGATCCAGTGTCCCCAGTGACAGAAAAAGGATAGCAGTTTTAAATGGTTCAAATGCTTGTTTCAGAGAACTCAGTGCAAGTGTGGCCATATAGATACAGAGTGTTAAAATGTTTCAGTGGAGTTTAAAAATAATTATGAAATTAGTTGGTAATGATAGTTCAGATGTTAAGAGGATTTGATACATCCTTATATTAAATGCCTTATCAGAAATATGTACCTTTCAAATTTTTGATAACAGTATTTAAAATATTTTAAAATGTTACTTTGCCTTTACCACAGACCAGGCTTTTAGGTCTGCTTCACTGATACTCAGGTGAGCACAGTAATGGGTGTTAATAATAAAAACATGAAAAGTACCTTTTTATATCTAATACCAGATTGTTTTCAGGGTCCCTGCATCCACTATTCAGACCATCACAAATGTAATACTAATAGACTGTTACCTTTGAAGGGTTGTCTGTAATTATTGTGTGGTAATTATGTAATCCTTCTAATCCCCACATGCGTAAATTTTGATATGACTTATGTGCAACCCACCACTAAATAGATTTTTTGATGGGTTTTTGTTTTGGTTTTTTTGAGTCAGAATCTTCCTCTGTCACCCAGGCTGGAGTGTAGTGGCACAGTCTTGTCTCACTGCAGCCCGGGTCTCCAGGGCTCCAGCATTCCTTCCACCTCAGCCTTCTGAGTAGCTGGGACTACAGGTGCACACTACCACACCTGGCTAATTTTTGTGTTTTGTGTAGAGACAGATTTCGCCATGTTGCCCAGGCTGGTCTCGAACTGCTGGTCAAGCAGTCCGCCTATCTTGGCCTTTCACAGTGCTGGGATTACAAGTGTGAGCCACTGTGCCCAGCCTAGTAATTGATTTATATTTAGATAGTTTTGAAGGTTAAATTCTTAGGGCTTCATACTGTCAAAATAAGTTTAAGGCACTCACAGACTGGGTACCAGTAAGTTTTAGAGAATAATTATGGGTTCTGTAAGTATGCATTTTTTTAATCACTGGATTTTAACATATTGATTGATCAATTAGTGGCATTTTTTTATTTTAGTTAACAGTCATTTTTGAGGGAGTTTTTATTCCTGCCAGTCTCTTACCACTTGGATCCCTACCACAGCCAAGTTACAGGTCAAGATTTTAATATGCCATGTAATTTGAACTTTTAAGAAAGTTTATGTGCATTTGTATGTAAAGTATTTTATAATTTTTAAAGAAACAACAGTCACATTTCTTGCGAGTGTCCTCGTGCCTTTAAAAATTTTCTTTTCTGGTTGGGGAACTGATATTTGGTAACTGGTTTTACTATGTCTGCTTCTTTGCAAAGCTTTGTCTTTAACAGAGTGATATTCTATGCTAAAATAGTCATGTTTAGAAAGAAAATTGTTCAGTTGCTAGTTTCTTATTATATATATTCTTCATTAAACAGAGTTGATCAAGAGCTTAATGGAAAGCAAGATGAACCGAAAAATGAACAGTAAGTTTGGCATCTAGTCCAAACAAGACTGAAGAATGTGCTGATGAAGCAGTGCTGTTTTTGCATTCATAATGCATTTATTGGCCCATATTTTTATGTAACCTGTTACAAGATTGACTTGACTTTTCTTAATGGACTTTTGTATTATGCAAGGGACTGTTCACTGCTGTACTGGTTTGCAAATCTCTTGAATTTAGCTCTTTAATAGCTAACTGTATTATCATTTTATATTTTATATTGCTAAATAGCAGAGAACCACACTTTATATACAACAATTTTTGCATTTGTTTATTGAATGACACATCATCTTCGGTGAAATATTTATATGCATAAAAGGCAAAGGAAAGAAATAATATATATTTTTATGTTTTTTTGAGCAATATTTTTTAATGTGTACTTGTTGTATGGAAGAAATATGCAGGTAAATAAGACCATGATTTTGTAAAGTGCATATTAGAATTTTTGTTTTTGTGAATGGTTCAATACATTTCCTAGGTAACTTAGAAAATTAAGTTTCTCATAAGGCAACGAACAGTTAAACTGATTCTCATGGATACCCAAAGATCATGTACATAATCAAAGTGTATTAGTACCATCCCAAGGTTTTTTTCTCATTTAACATATATCATTTCATAATTCAGCAAGTACAAATGCAGGCACATTGCACACTTTTTTCTTTTTAAAGACAAGTCAAAAAGCCATTTTTAGAACTAGAGGATTTAAGACATTAGGAATGGGGGTTTGTAAATATGTATATAGGGAACATTTTATTTTCTGACCCAAAGTCAGAACTTTATAAAAATCTTGAGTTTGTTCACTAATGTGAAATAAGCCGTGTGTCCAGGGTATTGCTCCCCTGAATGTGTGTGAGTGCTGTGTAGTATTGCAGAGAATATGATGAGTTATTCACTGTCACAACTTTTTCTGTAGAAAANATTGCACACTTTTTTCTTTTTAAAGACAAGTCAAAAAGCCATTTTTAGAACTAGAGGATTTAAGACATTAGGAATGGGGGTTTGTAAATATGTATTATGGGTCATTTTATTTTCTGACCCAAAGTCAGAACTTTATAAAAATCTTGAGTTTGTTCACTAATATGAAATAAGCTGTGTGTCCAGGGTATTGCTCCCCTGAATGTGTGTGAGTGCTGTGTAGTATTGCAGAGAATATGATGAGTCATTCACTGTCACAACTTTTTCTGTAGAAAACAGGGGCTGCTTTTTAAACTGCTCTCACTGTGGGCACTTTACCAAAATACTTCCATATCAACTATTTGAACTCAGTAGTTGTTTGACCTAATTAGATGTGGTGTTTGTTCAAATTTCTATGAAATCATGTTTGACAATACTGTAAATTAGGTTAATTCTGTAAGTCTTAGAGAGCATCATTATATTGTGCTGTTTTCGATAACACATTTGATACAAGCATTTAAATGGTTTCATTTGGTAAGTACCATTACACTGAAATAAATTGTGTATGTGCCTCCAAACAAAAGCTTAATTATCGAAAAAATTATTTCTGAAACAACAGATTGATCTAATATTGTGTCATATACTTGAAAGACTCATGGACAGCTGGTCAGCATAATACCTTCCTAATCTGAAGGTTATGCTACTCCAAACCTTTCTGTAAGGTATTTTACAAAAGAGTGGCCTCGAGTAGCCCCATTAAAGTGGATGTGAGCTATCCTCTTAAGAGTTCTTCTATCCTAGATTGAACACACATGTGGCTGTTACCATTCTCACATAATTATAAGCCTCCTGTTACAAAAGGGAACTTTTCAATCTATACTTTTTGTCCTCCTCAGTCTTACACTTGGCATGCTGACTTAAAACCAATTATAAGAGATGCTGGAGGATTCCCAGAATGAAACATTCCTCAGCAGCCTCCTGACTTAACTCGGATCCGGCAGGTCTTGGCAGATCCGGAACTAACTTCATTACAGTGAATTGAGCCAAAACCATTATTGCTTGCTCACATCTTAGGAACACTTTTTGTTGAAGAAGCAAACTAACAATAACAAGTTAGGCATTCCTTCTGAATTTACCATATGAGGATTACGTGTAAACAATTGATTGTGACTAGATTCTCTATTTGTAGACCAGTTAACATAGTCTTTCATTTATGCATCTTTATCTTGCTCAAAGTGGGCTGAGGTTTTTAATAGGTGGTTTTCCACCACATTAAGTACTTGGTTCTTCAGTCTGAAAAATAGGAAAAATAGCTTTCTTTTTTGTGTTTTTTGATTTTGCAGTCATTACTCCTAACTGTAGATATGTGTTGCAAAAGCAATGTTTTTATGGATTTTTTTTTTTAAATAGAAGAAGCCTATATTCTGTTAAACATAAAAATTCAGAGACAACAGTGTTAATACCTGAGATATAAAGAAAAGGCGGTGCTGTGAATCACTAAATTAAAGGGATACTTGCTTTAACCTGTACCTTAATGGAATCTGGCATAGGGGTGCACCCACAGTAAATGTTTTATAACTAAGATTTAAGATCATAACCAGTAGGTTAGAGGAAGATCATTTATTAAGTTTGTTATTTCTAATTTATAGCTATGTAAAATGTTCCCAGTTACTGCACTTTAAGTTCCCATTACTGGGGTGAGAGTGTATGTGATTATACTGTTTTATCTTTCTGCTGGGATCATGGATCTAACGTACCTGGCTTAATTTGATGCATTTGTCACTAGACTCCAGGTGCCCCTTTTTTTAGTCAGAAGTTTTTCATGTGAAATAATTTGACCCTGTTTTCTGCTTGATCATACTCCTAAGCAGGCACCAAGGGAAGGTGTTCTATTCACCCCGTAGCTTCAGCTTAACAGTCTTTAACTCGGAGGGAGAGATGAAGAAATAGGATTCTAAGTAGGGTCTAGCAGAGTCACTGGAAAGTGATAAAACTAGGAAGGGAAAGCCAACCTTTATAAAGGGATAAAAACAGCTGTTACCTAATATGCCACTGTATGTGTGTCCTTCTTAAGAGAAGTACTATATATGACAGCTAGTGGTACCATTTCTTGTATCCAGCAGGAAAACCTACAGGCTACACAGAAGATATGTGAATAAAGACTGGATTGAAGGAGAAAAGGCCGATAATACATACCTATGATGAAAATTCATATTTTCTCTGTGTCCCTTCATACAGAAGCAAGTTTGAACAGAGAAAGTTAGCCATTACAGCACTTAAAGTTTAATTTTGAGGGGTTTTTCGTATTTCACTGCTGTTGAACATTGATGTAGTTTTCCAAAATCAACATCACTGTTTAGTAAGGGCACTGAATACTGAAGTCTGTTGATTGGCAAGCATATATCTGTAGCTAGAATTTCTTCAATTGTAATTCCAGAATTTAAAAAGGTAAGAGATCCACTTTTTCATAGAGGCCTTTAAAAAAAGACTTTAACACTTCTATTTGGCTGTGGATGTGAATGCTCAGGGAATTTGGGAATGTGTTTAATACAGAAGTGGCTTTTTATAGTTCTTCAAGTGATAAATTAACATTAGGACATATCAGGTAGAACAGGCCAGTTTGCTGATGAGATTGGTAGAGATGTGACAGTCGCTTCCTTTTTCCATGTCATATGCAGAGAAGTGTTAATCTTGCTCAATCAGATGGCAGTAGGAGATAGGCTGAAAACAGAGATTGCTACACCATTCTATTTAGTTTTCATGCCTGTTTTTTCTCCCATCCTATATGGACATTTGAGAAACGGATTACAAATCTGAGATGAATGGAGTAAAAAGAGGCAATAGTGTATTTATAAGTTAGGCCTATTTTGCTGTTAAAGAGTCTGTCTTGTTTCAGGTCATCAGAATTGTGTGGTGTGAGTTGCTGGGAGAGAGAGTCAAGAACTTAGACTTGAATGGGAAGGGCAACTGGTGAGGGAAGCGGGGTATTCTCTACTCAGTGTTCTAAGTTAGTACAAAACTGGCGAGCCCCTCCACTCCCCCCTGCCCAGCCACTTAAGATTCTGAATGAGATCAGTGTGGAGACCCAGTAATGTAACTTACCTTGGAAGTTCTAAATGATCATTGAAAATAAAGTAGTATGGTATGTTGAACAGTAAGGAGTGACACTAACATTTGAACATAACAGTATGTTGCAACTATCTATAATACACCTACCTATGTTTTGAGAACTAAGTAAAATGCTATGAAAAATTCACGTAAATAGGCACTTAATAAATCAAGCACCAAATGAAAATAATTTTGTGCTTTTAAGTTAATGATATTAAGCTATTTCGTTTCAAATAGATGATTCTAAGACATCCTACAAGAAGTTAAAATATTTGCCTTTTGCAGTTTTAATGCAATTTGGCTAAGGAGGAACTTGGAAAATAACATTCATCAGCTACTACGCTGCACTTTTTGTATGTGGACTTTGTAAAGCTTAATGCCCCTTTAACAGTTGCTTGTTTATTTTCGTAAACCTGTCTAGTAAATATTGATGGTGTTCAGGGCCACAGACTTGCACAGCCTTTGGGGCACTATTCACACAGAACACAACTTCGAGTTTGTTAAGACACTAACGCACTTTGGTATCTGTTTCAAGAATACTTTTGTTATCACAAGTTCATTGTTGTCATTTAGACAAAATTAATGTACTGTAATATTTTCCTACAGTTAGGAAGATGTTGCCTAGCCTAGTACTGTCATTTTGCATTGTGAGAAATTCAGTTCTGATGTCTGTGAGTGCAAGATATTGATGTGGTCCCTGTAAGAAATACTAGAGTTCGTCATGATTTACTAAGGAGATGTAATATTTTCTTTTCCTTTGACCTGTTAGGAATATAACTGTGTCTTTTATTTGTTGCACACCATATTTTTTGCAACATTAATGAATTTAAATAAATTAATTGGAACGTCCGTCTTTGCCTCATTTTATCACATTTTTCTATTTTTCATTATGCTACTAAATTTTTGCTCTGAATTGTCCTATAAGCCTCTGAAATAGTTTCAGGCCTTTCCACTTGTTACCCTTTCTAGTCTGAGTGCTTCTATTGTTTGAAGAGCAGAGAGTTCAGCCTGCTTTCATTATTTTAATATCAAAACAATAATGAAACTTTGTGTTTCTTAGTTGACAATTTTTTTAGTTAATGGGGAATCCAAGGATGAAAGTTTATGGCTTAAAATGAAAACATGGCATAAGTAAGAACTTGTTCATAGACCTCAGAGGTTCCAGCTGATGCCACCTTTTGTTGTTGGTTTTTCGGTTTTTTGTTTTGTTTTGGGTTGTGTTTTTTTTCACTTACTCTTTAATCAGTATTCAATTACTTTGTAGGATAAACTGCTCTACACATCACTGCTGCGTTTAAAAGCCAGTTAGTGTGCCATGCACCCTGACACCT